TTTAAACTTAATGACTATAAGGGAACATGCTCCAGCTTCAAATACCGGATTACAAATTAATTGGTGGAAATTAAACTTAGTAAATTCCTATAAGGGAATTTGCCAACCTGGGAAAAACTGCCAAATCAATAAGGATGTTACTGTGGTTCTTAAGATGTTGATGTTCTGTGTGAATAATAATTAGTCAGGAGGCTGTGCTCAGTAAAACTGAGTATACCAACAGGTCTTAGGATCAGTAAAAAGGTTCCAGATGTTTTTGCTCCATTATGGCAGTAAAGGACACATCCAATACAGCAGGACAACTTGGAGCCTTATTTATGTTAACAGTCATCCTGTCTTTTAGGGAGGGGGGTTCTTTTCTGTAAAATATAGGACTGACAGGCTTCCCTGGTGGCGCAGTGGTTGAGAGTCCGCCTGCCGATGCAGGGGACGCAGGTTCGTGCCCCGGTCCAGGAAGATCCCACATGCCGCGGAGCGGCTGGGCCCGTGAGCCATGGCCGCTGAGCCTGCGCGTCCGGAGCCTGTGCTGCGCAACGGGAGAGGCCACAACAGTGAGAGGCCCACGTACCACAAAAAAAACAAACAAACTAGGCAATAACCTGAGAGACCACTGAAATTAATACTTGTTAATATTTACTAAAGGTAGAAAATGGTAACATTTTTAAATGTTACAGTTAATCACAGACTGGACCCAGCCTACCTGATTCAAATCTGGGCTCCACTGCTTATAGCCCTGTAACTGAGTAGATTAATCTCTCTGCCTCAGGATCCTGAACTGAAAATATGGATAATTGGATGAACCTTATAAATTGTGAGGATTAACTGAAGATATACACACATCTATATAAACAGATAAACTAAAGAAAGGAGTTCTGGGGACGTTCTAATCCTGATTCTTTGATGGGGGGAGAGGATGGGGATGTGGAATGGGGAGAGTGAACTTAAACTTATGAGTGTGTAGTGTGATTTGTGCAGAGCTTTCTAGGTCTATCCATAGTTACTTTAAATGTTTGCTTAGATCAGATGTCCCACATTGGCTCATCTCAAGAACGCCTCTATTTTGTTTGGCTCATGCTTATAATTTTAATTTCTTAATTAAAGACCAACGTCTCATAATCCAGAGAGAGCAGCAAAACTCCCAGATTTCCATCTTCTTTTTTTTTTTTTTCTCCCAAAGTGGAAGATCTGACAGCCCTTGACCTATAGTCCCATCGGACGCATCTGATTGGCCTTTACACAGGGAAAGTATTCTGTTTGCAATGTTCCCCAGTGTTGTCTCCCCAACATGGAGACCAAGTAGCACTCATCATTTATCACTGTGCTCGCACCATTGTGTGTTCATGAACCTGGACAGTTTGCATTACCTGCCTGGCCTCTGTAAGTGTTTGAATTGCCTCTCCTCTTGGAAACTAAAGGATGTCTTCATTTTCTGCCCATTTTACCTTATCTCTTTAGTACCCGTCTCAATTTCAGTAGCTGTTAGAGTCGATGATAGGAGTGTAGAAACGAGTAGAGAAATAGTGGGAGTAGGAGCTACTCAGACTGACATTTTTGCTTAAAAGCCTTATTAAAGTATGTCAAGGAAGTCTGTTGCTTGAATTTTTTTTTTTTTTTGCGGTACGCGGGCCTCTCACTGTTGTGGCCTCTCCCGTTATGGAGCACAGGCTCCGGACGCGCAGGCTCAGCGGCCATGGCTCACGGGCCGGATCTTGCTGGACAGGGGCACGAACCCGTGTCCCCTGCATCGGCAGGCGGACTCTCAACCACTGCGCCCTGTTGCTTGAATTTTTAAAACAAGGACTATATAAAAACCCCTATAGCTTGCTTTTGCAAAATATATTTTCCCATCCCCAAATATGGTAAGTTATAAGAATTGCAAGCATTGCATGTTTGCGTGTTTAATATCTTATTTTCTGCCTCTGAGGTTCTGTGAGACATTTTCTGGGAGTGAATGGTTACATTCTTGATGTTCTCAGTGACAAGATAAATGTGAACCATCTGACCCATAAATGCTCTGTCATCTATGAGTGTATCTATAAACTTGAAGCTGTTTATGTTTTCATTCCAAAGTATATCTTTGAAGTTAAGGGTGGGGGGAGGATATTTGTATTTCTCTTAGAACTTCAGAGGCTAGTTTTCTTTAAGGAAAATTTAATTGATAAATCATTTTCTCATGCTACATCCACACGGTCACTTCTCTGCTGCCTTTATCCCTTGGACATTTTAGCTGTCCTTTTGAAGGGATACATAAAGCTTCTTGAGCTTAAGCATCCAGAGCGGCACATCTTTTTTACACCCCAAACCCCATTCCCCGTGGCCATTCTCCCCAGGTCTGCAGAATAGTTCAAAATTATTTTTAAAAATCAGCCCCTGGGTCTAATATCAGTGAGGTCCTAACTTTGGTCCCCACTCCAGTGGTGGGCTGAACACAGCCCATTCGATGGCACTGGTGCAGAAAAGATGTGAGCCACTCCCCAAAGCAGCTCTTTGCTGTAACTACTGGTCATGGAAGCCACCCATGCCCACTGTCCCTCCTTTTATTCGCCTGAATGACTATGGACGTGTGGCGATACCAGCTCTAACTGCAGTGGCCTGGAAAAGGGTAGCGGAGGGGAAAGAGGTTTTGAGAATAACATGCCCTCCACCATACACACCACAACCCTCTTCTTCCTAAATTCCCCATTCACTTCAGTCACCCATGGAAAGAGCCATTTTTTAAAATGCTCATTCGATTCTGCACAGCTGTCATCGTGATGGCTCTCGCTTTGCCTACTCTTCCTCCCCTACAAAACTCAGATAGTTCAAGGGTTCCTATACTCAATGAAATCCTATAACTAAAAGAATTGAGCATCCCTGGTACCATCCACATGGGTGAAAACTAAAAATAAATTTTACATCCACAAATGTCTTGAGGGCAAAGCATCCGAAGGACAATTAATGTTTCACCTTCCACCCAGATTGGTGGCATCTTCCAAGTACAGCCCCATATGTTCTGCTGTCAGATATCAATGGTATCACCTCTCTTGGATAACCAATCTTGATTCAAGCAGACAGGAATCTATTTAAAATTGTTTCATATTAAACATTTTCCTCTATGGTGCTTTATACTACTGTGTAAGCAATGTATTTTATTCTGCTTTTGAATTTAGAAAATAAAGCAAACCTCAAAACCACAAGTGAAACAGAGTCACAGATGTAGAAAACAAACATGGTTACCAGGGGTGGGGGGAAGCGGGGTGGGGGAGGGATAAACTGGGAGATTGGGATTGACATATACACACTACTATATATAAAATAGATAACTAATAAGGACCTACTATATAGAACAGGGGGGCTTCCCTGGTGGCACAGTGGTTAAGAATCCACCTGCCAATGCAGGGGACACGGGTTCGAGCCCTGGTCAGGGAAGATCCCACATGCCGCGGAGCAACTAAGTCTGTGAGCCAGAACTATGAGCCCGTGTTGCTAGAGCCTGTGCTCCGCAACAAGAGAAGCCACCACAATGAGAAGCCCACACACCACAAGGAAGAGTAGCCCCGCTCGCCGCAACTAGAGAAAGCCTGCGCGCAGCAACGAAGACCCAATGCAGCCAAAAATAAATAAATGAATAAATAAATAAATAACTTATATAGCACCTTCTCAATACTCTGTATGTGACCTATAAGGGAATAGAATCTAAAGAAGAGTGGCTATATGTATATGCATAACTGATTCACTTTGCTATACAGCAGAAACTAACACAACATTGTAAATCAACTATACTCCAAGAAAAATTAAAAACAAAAACTGCAAGTGAATTTTTTGGTAAAAAATGGAAATCAAAATGTTTATAACTGTACTTATGTTACTGACAATTTTATAATTTTACATATTACAATATGCTTTCCCTGCTAAGTACTGAGTATATGAAAAGGCCTCAAGGAAAAATGCACCATGCAACGGGCACTGTGCTGAGTGATTTACATCCAGTGATTTACATGATCTTACTTAATCCTCTAAATAACCCTATAAGACACATACTGTTGCTAAGACCATCTTCTCAGAAACTCTATGTTTAAGACTATAATCCTCATTTCACTGATGATGAAAATTGAGTGGTAGGGTAACTTGCTTGTTAGTGGCAAAGCCAGGCTTTCAACCTACATGTGACCTTAAAGCCTCTTACTGTTTTATCACTGACAAGTACACGTTAAACCTTGCGTGAGTCCCTGATCAATAGCACTCCACACAGTAAAAACTTAAATACTAAGAACCTCAAATCACTACATATTAGACAAAGAAAAATTAGACTCTAACATACATAAATAACCTGATATAAGGAATTTAGTTTAAAAAATAAAAAAATAAGTCAAAAAAGAGTGTCCTAGTTTAAAGTACATATTTAGCCCAGTACCTGTATATCTTTTATGTTTGCTTCAGCAGTGCTGTTCTTTGAGAAATAATGTTTACAGTGAGAACTCAGGCAAACCATAGCATCATAAATCATCAAAGATGAAAAAGCTGTTTACACAATAACATTTGAGAAGGTTTTCAATCTTAAGGGTTGGAAGAAAATGTTTTCTGCTTAAATTTCGGTTAGCGAGAACATTGACCCTAACATGACCCTTCCCCTCTGTCCTTCATGTGCATCCCCAGTCCAACACACAGTCTGTTAGTTCTGATGATGGAATTTCTTTCCCTTTGGAAAGGGGTAGCGGAGAGTAATAAATGACTGACTCAAGTATATTCCAAATGGTACTTAATATGTTCTTTGCACCTTAGTTCTTATTACAAAGCCGATAGGTAGGGGCAAGTATGTAGGCAGTTAAATGCCCCAGTGATGGGTTAGTAATACTGTTGTCCTAATTATTGCTACACATAAATCCTTGGCAGATTTTTTTTCCCTCATGTCTTATTAAGTTTTAGGCACACTGTCTGAAACTTTATTCTCTTCATTATGCCCAGACTGTTCTAGAAAAATAGATGATATGTTAAACTACAAGTGACATTCATGATCTTACCTGTTGGTTGTCAAGATTCATCAGTGTGAGGCTGCATGTTGAGATGGTCAGTTTTATATTCATTCCCGAAAACTGAAGATTACTTTTGCCAAGAACTGTTGATAGGAACTTAGCTGGAGCCTTTAAAAATAACATAACAACACTCTGTAAGTTATGGATTTTGTTACAGAATGAATATTTATGTTTTTTAAATGTTAAAAATGAAACCAAAAGTTGGTCCTTCAAAAAGATCAACAAAATTGACAAACCTTTAACTAGATAAACTAAGAAAAAAAGAGAGAAGACTCATATTAGTAAGATGAGAAATGAGAGTGGGGTCATTACTACAAATTCAACAGAAGTAAAAGGATTATGAGAATACTATGAACAATTGTATGTCAACACACTGGATTACCTAGATGAAATGGACAAATTCCTAGAAACATAAAAGCTACCAAGACTAAATCATGAAGAAATAGAAAATCTGTGTACACCTATAACTAGTCAGAAGGAAGGAAGGAGGGAGGGAGGAAGGAAGGAAGGGAGGGAAAATAACAAGTGTTAGCAAGGATGTGGAGAAACTGAAACCCTTTACACTATTTGTAGGAATGTACAATGGTACAACAGCTAAGGAAAACAGTACAGCAGCTCCTCAAAAAATTAAAACTAGAATTACCATATGATCCAGCAATTTCTACTTTTTGTTATATACCCAAAAGAACTGAAAGCAAGGACTTGAAGAGATACTTGTACATCCATGTTCATAGCAGCATTATTTACAATAGTTAAAACATGGAAGTAACCCAAGTGTCCATCAACAGATAAATGGAAAGCAAAATGTGATATATACATACAATGAAATATTTATTCAGTCTTAGTAAGGAAGGAAATTTTGACATGTGCTACAGCATGGATGAACCTTGAGGACATTATGTGAAGTAATGTGAAATAAGCCAGTCACAATAAGACAAATACTGTATGATTCCACTTATATGAGATACTTAGAGTAGTCAAAATCATAGAGACAGAAAGTAGAATGGTGGTTGCCAGGGGCTGGAGAGGATGGGGAATGGGAAGTTGTTTTTTAATGAGTATAAACTTTCTGTTTTACAAGATAAAAAAAGAGTTATGGGACTATTCCTAATAAATTGTTTAACCAGATTGTGTAAAATAACTTCATTGCTTAATATGAAATTTCAAAGTTAAGGCTTGGGGGAAATGGGCTTTATAGAAGCAAACAATTCTAAGTATATTCTGTTCTTCAAATAAATGACTTTATTTCTTAAAAAAAAAAAGAGTTATGGGGATAGATGGGGGTGATGATTGAACAACAATATGAATGTACTTAATATCCCTGAACTATACCCTTAGAAATGGTTCCAATGGTAGATTTTATGTTATGTGTATTTTACCACAATTTTTCAAATTGGGAGGAAAAAGAATATAAAAAATATAAAGTGTGTGGAAGAGTCCCTGGCATGTATTAAGTACTCAATAAAAATGCTAGCTATCAAAGGAAATTAGCTCAAAATTTTCTTTTCTTTCTTTTTTTTTTTAACTTCTTTACATGTGTACTTTCTGGAAAGATGATAGCCTGGTTTGCTTTTGTTTTATTTTGTTTTGGAGTGTGGACTCCCACTACTCCTGAAATGAGAAAGTCTTAAGTGAATAAGCCTGTTTGTTGGCATCTTCCAGTCGGAACCTCCTATTCACAGAGGTTATGAGAGGCAGGAGGAGGCTAGAGGCTATAGACAGACCATCGGTTCTGTCAGAGAAACTAGTAATGGGAGTTCTAGTAGAATTCAAGAGCCATTCATCAGAGTTTCCCAGATCATGTGGCTCATCTGAGTCACTCTGGGTGACAGTGGGTTCATCCCTATGCAAAATAATGAGTAATGATAAAAAATTAGGCAGGGTGGTACGGAAATAGAGCAGTCAGCCGGGACTCTGAAGACCTGGCTTCTACAGCTGGCGCTGACCTTGATCTTCCTAGTGACTCAAGGCAAGTCTCTTCTCTGAGCCACAGTTTAGCAGCTGGCAAAGTGAGAGGATTCAACTGGGAGATCTCTAAAAATTCCTCCCCTCTTAAACAGTCTATACTTCTATAATTTATATAGTTATCTTAAGAGCCATTGCACCTCCCCTTTGGGAGGCTTTTCAAAGCAACTAAGTATTCTAGGGATAATACTAACTAGCATTAGCGTTGAAAGCCTAATGTAAGCAAGTCACTTACACATCACTTCATTTAATTCTTACATAATTCTATAAACCAAGGGCTATTTTCTCCTACTTTACAAATGAGGAAACCAAGGATTCGAAAGGTGAAATGACTTGATCAAGATCACACAGTTAGTAGGTGGCAGAGACAGGATTTAAGTGCAAGTCTAACATCAAATCTCATGATTTCTTTCAACAGGAAAAGCTCCTTCTACCCATTTATTACCCTTACCTCTACCAGCACTCTTGTTTCCATCTGAAAATAGGCCATGGAGTCCTAAAAGTCTAAAATGTTAAAATGCAGAATACACACATTATAAAATATTGAAATTGGAAGGTACCAAAATTGGTCATCAGGTTCAACAGCTTAACTTTACAGGAACAAGAATGGAGTTTTGGAGAGATGAGATACCATGCTCAAAGGTAAGTAAATACCTAGCTCTGCAACCAGATTTTCTGACTTGAAAAGACCCATGTGCTTTCTCCACTCTGACCCTCAGGCATCACCATTTCAGACAGTGTCTGGCAAGTCAGAAAAATTTGAGGGACAAGAACAACTTCGAGTGCATCTCAGATAGCATGCCAAATAATCAAGGCCATTCTAGACCTTGGGTCATGTGGTGGAATGAACTAACAACTATTTTGATACTATCTTTCCCATAGTTAGGGAAACTAAAACAAAGAAAAAACACACCAGTATTTACCTTTCGCTTTTTAATGGCTCCATTTGCCCCAGGGACAGCTTCACACAGGCGACTTATTGCTTCCCTACAGAACAGAAACCATATAAAGACTCAGCATACTATCAAGCACACAGTAAATGTTCAATAAACATTAGCAAGTATTATGACCAAAATGTACACTCACATAATGGTGAGCCTGACATAAATGACCTTCCCCACTCCCACTGGAGAAAACACTGAGCTTAGTCTCTCTGCAGCTCAAACCCAAGAAAATCCAGCAACACCCTAATATTGAAAAATTGCTTTACAGTAAGGAGTCCTACTATTCATCTTCTTCGCCTTTTTTCCTTGGCTTTTAAGGATTGGTTTTCAGTGCTATTGATTTCTAACCCAAAAAGGACTGATGGAACTTTACTGTCTGGGAATACTTCACAGTTTTACCTTTAGCAAAATCCTCCGTGGTGTGATGAATAAAAAGCTTCATAGTATCTCAGCACCAAAGATAATTAAATACAAAAGAATCCAACACTAGAGGAAGTTTAAAAGGATTGAGAGAGAATTGAACTTCAAGGTGGTCTCAAATGGAGCCTTATTGACTAAGTTACTGCTCCAAGCCATTGAGCTTTCATGTCATTTCACAGAAGAAAAGAAAATCAATAACAGATTTCCTCCTTTGCTTATTTTTCTGCCCTTACTATATATTGCACTTCCTGAGAGAAAAGCACCGCTAAAAGAAGTGGTTGTTCCTTAATGGAAGTGGTGAATGAACTGGCGCCCTCCTCTCCAGAAATGCAGTTATAACTAAGAGCTTTTGTCTCTGGGACTCAGCATTCAGAACCACCCAAGCTTTCACGTGGCGTAATCTGAACCTTCGCTTCATGACTTTCAACACACATAGCAAACTTTTCACAAAGCAAATGGAAATCTCTAAACTCCTTCCGGATCCACTGGACATCATCGTTTAAATTAGTACACTGTATTCACACACACACACAAACACACACACACACACACACACACACACACACCCAATATACAGTTTTTATATATATTAGATTTCATGAAAATATTTTCTATGAGATGTTTTTGATTCCCAAAGGAAGGGGATGCAGAGAGAGGAATGCAGACCCATTAAAAAAATATATATGTTATAGATAGATAGATATAAAGATATATAAATAAATATAGATAGTAGGTAGATCTATATACATAGTAGTGCAGAGCTATGTTCTCAACATAATTACCCACAACCAATGGATAGAAAGGCTTTTTGCCTTAGCATATCTTCTCAGAATTTTATGTTTATTGCTTCTCTAGGATTCCAAACTTGTTCTGTGGAGTCAAACAGGACAACTCAGAGAGTTGGTCTTTTTGGTTTGGTTGGTTGATTGATGTTTTGAGTCATCTTAATGATTAGTCAGTAATTGATGACACATCTAATTGATCTGAATTGGCCTCTGGTGTTGCCAAAATAACTAGTCCAGGCACCCAAATATGTTGTTGGTATTTAACCAAGAGAGATTATGGGAAAGGTGTTCTTAGATTCTTTACTCCATGAGAGCCAACAGGGGTGCTTTGGTCTAAAAAGCTCCCTGTAAATGGTTTGAAATAAAAGTAGAAACAAAGGCGGGCACTGATGCTGCCAAGTATAATAATAGTTATTATTAGAAGTTGTTACTTTTATATAGCACCTATAGTTTTATAAACTGCTTTTCCAGGCATTGTTTTCTTGATTCTCATTCCAACTGTCAATATCTTCTAACAAAAAGTAAAGCTATGAATTTGAATTAAAGGGAATGCTTTATAGGATGAGCACCCCTCAAGGAGGTTTTGGAAGGCTGAACCTTCCTGGCAGAGTGGAGTTGGGAAATTCCAGACAGAGGGAAGAGCATGTGTAAAGACACTAAAACATAAATTATCACAACATGTGGGGAACTACAGTACTTTGACATTGATATTGCAGGAGCATAAATTGTGGTAGAACAAGAGTGAGTAAGAGCTAAGAGATGGGATTAGAGTCTGAAAACTTTTTCTATAAAGAGCCAGATAGTAAATATTTTAGACTTTGCTCTGTTGCAACTACTGAACTCTGCCACTGTAGCTCAACAGCAGCAGTAGACAACACGTAAACAGATGAGCACAGCTGTGTTCCAGTAACTTTATTTCTAAAAGCAGGCAACTGGCCATATTTAGCCCAAGGGCTGTCGTTTGCCAATTCCTGGATTAGGTAATTCATACAAATGGAGTTAGAAATAGTTCAGTTTTAAGAAACAAGAAAATGTTGACATTCATTATACTTTTAGAATTAAAAATTAAAGCAACTATAAGATATTTGCTCCACTCTTATTACATTCACAGAAAAGAAAATTACAAAGCCAGTATTGGGGGAAATGGGAATAATTCCACTTCAGGTATATTTATCCATTGCTGGTGGCCTTGATTAGTATTAATACAATCTTTCTAGAGATAAAGTTCATAAAAGTTGACAAATGTCATAATATTTATCAGAGCTTTTGACAAGGGAGGAGGAACTTGTATTGAAATAGCATTGAGTAGTTATGTAAAAGAAACATTTATTTTAGAGTAAAAAACCAACCCCAAAGCTTGTGATATAGACATAAAACAAATCAATATAAATATTGCCACTTGAAATGTTAAGTATGAGAACTATAGATATATGGGGGGAATCTATACAAGTTAGTGGGGAAAAGCAGAACTTGGAATGGCATATACACACTGGTAGCAGCTATATAAAATTAATTCTGTACAAATAGTGACATAGAAAGAGCATATAAACAGTGACTTGGTTTAGGTGTCTTCTGTGTGTGATTTGCTGTTTCCTGTTTTTGATTCTATTGATGTTTAGATGTAAACAGTGTTATGTTTTCCTTCATTGTGCAGTTGATTGCATAAAAAAATATTTTAAAATATTCAAAAGAATGCAAAGTTAGTTCCTCAGCAGGAGTTTTGCTCGTGCACTGTGGAGATGTGACGGCACGTCAAGGATGTCCTGACGGAGTGACACAGCCTGCCTCTCTTTTGCCAACAATTGCAGAGATGGAACAATGCTCACGTTATAGATAATCACAGATCTTTATTTCTCTCTCTGCTCCCATCCCCGCTTAGCCTTTAACGCCTCCATCTTTATAGCCACTAAGTCCAGATTTATCTTTTCACTTTATTTGGTAGACTTGCCGGTTTCCACTCCACAAAGTTTCACAAACAAAAAAACCCTTGACCAGATTTAGCAATGCTTTCACATTAGAAATCCCTACCTTTAGATTTGTAGCAGAGAGCCTGGGTTTTAATGAAGAAGCTGCTCCTGTTTATATGGTCAGGCTCAGCACTCATCACCTTATGTACGTCTTCTCAGTCTTAACAATGTCATTTCAAGGTAGGTATTTTATCCCCATTTTACAAATGAAGAAACTAAAGTTCGAAGAATTTTAATAACTGCCTCCAAATAATGCAGCGGATAGTGGAAGAGACAGAATGCAAATCCAAGTCTGACTTCAAAATCCACACTCACCCAGGGAGGGACCATAATGCCAAGTGCATGAAAAGGAGGGAGTCCCGGACTTTGCGGACTAGGGAGGAGAAACACATTGGTCCTTCCCTTGCTCACTCCCCAACACAGAAAGGGGCTCTTTTTGGCCAGTCCTTCTGCATTGTGGCTGGAGTAACCTGCCAAGGGAATATGGCAAAGTGGTAGGGGTCAGCTCTGGAGAAGGCCCATGAGGATGCCCCAGCCCTTTGCTTTCTATACAGCGGCTGTTATCTCCTTAGGGACGAGAAGAACTTCCAGAGCCCGGCCACGTGCCCTCAGGGGAAGAACACACATGTGCGCAAGGCACACTCACACAGAACTTTAAAGTAAGTTGAGGCACCAGAAGCTTCACAGATTCAGAAAGTCCCTTAATATACAACTCAAGAGAAAAAAGGGGAAACTTGTGCTTATGAACTCACTTTTAAAAAGTAGTTATACTGTACACCCACGTTCACAGCAGCATTATTCACAATAGCTAGGGACTTCCCTGGTGGTCCAGTGGTAAAGAATCTGCCTTCCAATGCAGGAGACACAGGTTCGATCCCTGGTCAAGATCCCAAGTGCCGTGGGGCAACTAAGCCCGAGCACCGCAACTATCGAGCTCACATGCCTCAATGAGAGAGCCCACGTGCAGCAAACTACAGAGCCCACACACTCTGGACCCCACACGCCACAACTACTGAGCTCATGCACCCTGGAGCCCACACAACACAGCTAGGGAGAGAAAACCCGCACACCACAACTAGAGAGAAGCCCAAGCACCGCAACTAGAGAGAAACCCGAGCCCCACAACAAAGAGATCGCGTGCCATAATGAAAAGGTCCCGCATGCCTCAACAAAAGATCCTGTGTGCTGCAACTAATATCTGACGCAGCCAAAAAAAATAAGATAAATAAATAAATAAATAAATAAATAAATAAATAAAATATTCACAACAGCCAAAGCATGGAACACACGTGTCCTCAATGGGTGAATGGATAAGCAAAATGTGGTATATACATACAGTGGAATATTATTCAGCCTTAAAAAGGAAGGAAATTCTGCAATGTGCTACAACATAGTGAATCTTGAGGACATTATGCAAAGTGAAATAAACCAGTCACAAAAAGACAGATACTGCATGATTCCACTTAAATAAGGTACTTAGAGTAGGTCAAAGATCATAGAAAGTAGAATGATGGTTGCCAGGGTCTGGGGGAGAATGAGGAGTTACTATTTAATAGGTACAGAGTTTCAGTTTCACAAGATGAAAAGAATTATGGGGATGGACAGTGGTGATGGTTGCACAGCAATGTGAACGTAGTTAATGCCCCTGAACTGTATAGTGGGCTGGCCAAAAAGTTCGTTCAGGTTTTTGTAAGATGTCAGAAAAACCCAAACGAACTTTTTGGCCAACCCAATACTTTAAAGTGGTAATTAAGATGGTAAATTTTATTTTATGTGTCTTTTGCCATAATAGAGAAAAAGAGCTACCAAAAATAAAGTAGTTATTACTTTTTTTTACTTGAGACTCTAAGGAGAATCATAGGTCTCTCTTC